CGCTCTCGCCTTCGTGTCTTCTTAATTTCCCTTTCTACTAGAATTTTTGTTTCTCTGCATGGTGAGTGCCTTCCATTTTTCTCCTCTGAGCTGTTCCCAAGAAACATTAATCCCTGCTCTTTCCTCTGCTGGCTACTCTGCCCATTTACAATTATAACCAGGAGCTAGCACAGGGTAGAGCTCAGGAGGTTTTTTGGCTTTGCTGTTGTAAACGTGACCTGACTGGTGCTTGCGGGTGCCCCCGAGGGTGCTTGGCCGCTGCAGCCCGGGAGGAGACGAGCCCCGAAGCAGCTCCGTCCGATGGCCTGCGTGGAGGAGAGAAGGGTGACTGCTTGTGAGACAGAGTGACAGTGAAACCATTTGATGACATAATTGGGAGTCATATATTTACGGTTTCTTCCTTCAGGGCTGGTAACATAACCATTGAGATTTTACAGAGGCTGAGGTTTCACAACGCCTTTCCTCAGCTGACTGAAAGACTTTTTCAGAGATTCAGTGATTACCTAGTATCAGGGCTTTCACATCGCTTCATTCTCTAGTTTGTCTTGAAGTCCATTATAGTGGAAAGATAAAGCAAGCAATACCTGGCGATGCAGTATTTTTTTGAAAAAGATATGAGCCTTTCATTGTCACATTCATAAAGATACTGTTTATTAACTGATTAGGTATGCAGTAAGATTGGAAGGGGGTGGGCTGGAGCGCATTATTTTTATCCTCTTGAAAACAGTATGACTGCTGAGTCCAGTTTCTGTGGTTTCTTAACTTTGTATTACAGCTGATTTGCTAAAAAGAACAGCTATGGTTCTGAACTGCGTTGAACTAGTATGATATTTATTTAGACTTTGAATTTTTATCAAAATCTAGCAGTAGCTATTACTGCAGTGTAATAAACACAGCTAGTAAATGTGGAAACCTTTTACATTTAGATTGCATCATTTAACTGTGTGTAGATTTCTTATGAATTAATGAAGGATGTTCATAGAAAGTTGATGTATTTTTCTGATGAGAAGATGCCTTCTTTCAGATCTTCTTTCTTAGAAATGGCAGCCAGTATCCGTAAGTAGACTTCACATCCATCCTAAATGGTATTTTTTAAAAAATCTGATGTTCAGTTTATTCTCTCACTCCAGACCTCCTTGTACCTCTTTAGGCTTTCTGCCTTGAGGCTATCCATAGCAGAGTCAGTTCAGGCCGGTATGTCTCCAGACACCATGTGAAGCAAAAATGCTGAAAAAAGTGTATTTATGACAGAAGTTACAATGAGTTCTGATGCTTTTAGTATTGGAAAGTAACATTCTTTTTTTTTTTTTTTTTTTTCCAGAATCATGGTACTCTTGTGTTGAGAAATACTGAGAAGTAAATGATCTATTTAATGACGTTTATGACAACCTTACAGGATTTATTGCTCCTGTATAATTAAAACTAGAATTCTTTATGTTCTGGATTAAGATAAGTCTGTGTATAGTTCTGAGCAGCAGAGATACATCACATAAATGGCAAAGGACTGTGAATTGATCCTTCAGTTTATTGGATTCTGCATGGAGTTTATGGCAACAAATTATTTGGGATAAAATATCTTATATGCACTATGGAGATGCAACCGAGAATTATTTGTGTAGGATTCAGGTTTAAAAAACCAAAGCAACCAACCAAAAACCCCCAGCCTTCTGTGTAGCAGGCTAGTAGAAGGTTACTGCAATTCAGATAGCCATGCACACAAATACAAAATAGCAGTGATGGCAGTTATGATGTATCATACCATGTCAGGACTATTCCTGGTGACTGTGAAATTGGACGTGTGTTTTGGGTGATGGAGCAGGAATGTTCCTTAGCTTCAGTGTGCTTTTGTTTCTGAAGTCAGTGAATGTTGCAAGGGCTTTTCCTGAATTTTGGATAAAAGCTGCTGTGTATCACCGTTGCTGGAAGCACTGGGAGGCAGGGCTGTATGGATCAGACTACACAGCTATTAATTGGTTGCTCAAGCAAAACCATTGAAAAGATAAAGTTATTACTTTCAGCTGCCTTGTTTTATGGAAAAAATGAATGAAGATAAAATAAGCAATAAAGATAATGCTTTGAACTGAAATGTTACACAAGTAATTTAATGACAAACTAGAATAAATCCAATTCTGGGATTTCAGTACAGGAGACTGGAGGTTTCCCCCATGTGAAATGGCTGCCGCACGAACCATCTCCAGTGCAGCTCCTGCTAGCAGGGATCCCCATGTTCTGCTTTATAACCAAAGGGCAATGCTCCATGGCCTAGAACAACTGCTTAGGTGATCTTTTTTTCCCCTGAATATTGTTTACCAGTAAGAAAAAAACCCCCAAGGAAGTTATTCAATACTGTATGACAACTTTCTGTTAAAAAAAAAAAAAACACAAAAAACCCCCAAACAAAAACTAATGCTCTCTTGCATTCATGGTGAGTTACTGATTGCAGCTGAAAACCTGCAGTTCTCCTGTGTGAAACTGTACCAAAAGTATTTTTAGTAATACCAAATCATTGTTATTTAGAAAATAAGACTGTATACCACATATAGGTAAATTTGATAGGGAGGTACAAACCGCTGTTGTTCTTTAAACAATGGGGTTTCAGTCTTCTTCTGACTTAGTCCTTTAGATGTCACTTCTGCCTGTGTCCAGATGCTGCTCCAGCCAGCACGGCAGTACGGTGGAGGGTTTTTTGCTGTCTTTCCTTATTACAGACTCATCTCCACCCCTCCAGCTCCAGCTGTGCTGTCGTTTCTTTTCCAGTTAGGCTGCAGTTTGCTGACAGTCATCCCTGAGCCCTTGGGGAAGTAGCCGCGTTAAGGCTGCAGACCCCATCCGCATGGAAATGCAGCACGACGGAGGTCTGCGGCCAGGCTCCTGGCTTTCCCGAGAAGCGCAGGGCTGGGGCCGGCAGGCTGTGGGAGGAGAAAGCTCCTAGAATTTGCAAAATGGTGTTAAACTGCATGTAACACAGCTATGGCACCTCCTCGCTGGAAGGAGGGGATGCTTGCAGTCACATTTCATCCCTTGGTGGGTGCCTGAGGCAGCGGAGCGAGGCTGTGCTCAGGGTACGTTAAAGTTAGGAGCATCTTCCTACGTGTATAGCTCTCCATTTAGCCAGCTTGCCTAGCTAAAGATAGCATGCGGTATCGGAGAGACCTGAGCATGGGTTTTGATAAGATTCCTCTGAGAATGAGACAAGAATGACAGATTTTATGCCTCATATTAGTATTGTAGTAAAATATAATTGGAAACTGCGTGATGCATAACGTGCTTTGGGAAAGACCGGGCGCCTGTGCTGATGGAGGGAAGAGCTGGGCAGCAGGAGAGGCAGCAGCCAGCTCTGCCTGGTGTGCAGGTCCCAGCTATGGTACTCCCTGTTTGATGTATATACTCCTCTTTCAATCAGAAGTTTATTTATGAAATACATTTTTCAAATTTTCATCATAAGTAGAGACAAATTATCATTTACTAAGATATATTTACCAGTAAGCCATTCACATTTTATCTTCTACATGTTCTGTGTATGGGGATGTCTGAGAAGACTTTGTGTATTGGGCAGATAGTAATTGTGTGGGACTTACACCCCTTTAGCTACTTTCTTCCCTAACTCTATAATGAGATCAATTTTATCCTCATCTATTTTTTTTTTACCTTTCCAAACAGCAAAACATCAAAGTTGGGAATTTTTCCTTTCAAATTGCTTGCGATGCTGGTAGCTGCAGAACGAGCGAGATTCGGGCTGACATCAGACTCTTAATAAAAAGAGAGTTCTCTGCTCTGTTGTTCAAGAAGGTCCCATCAGGGACCCCCAGCTCTCCTGGGCTGTGCACGCACGGGATGGTTCCTCCTGGCAGAAGTGGTACGTAACCCCGTTGTCGGGGGTCTAACCCATCCCTACGGAGGAAGATTTCAGATTTCAGAGCAGGGCTCACAGCCCGTGGAGCAAACTGGTAGTTTTGAAGCAATCCAGTCTGATTGTTGCTGTTGGGGGAAACCAAGGTTTTTATCTGTGATGGAAAAGTATAAAGTGGTATTTCCAACTTCAGCTTTTAGAAGTTTCAACCAATTAATAATACATGAATAAGATTGGAATGACTTACTGACTAGACAGTTTCTGAAACAGGAAAATGCTTTTTGATGCAGAGGGTATTTTTCTTTTTTTGCAATGCCTATTGATCGCGTTTGTACACGGTACCCACAGAACACCCTCACCTTTCAAAGTGTTTGCAGTGTGCTTGGTGGTTAAACCAAAAAGCTGTGGTTTCTGCCCATCAGCATCGCTGCTGCTTATGTGTTACTGAGGGTCTGAAAATACTGCTGGGATGTTGCTGTGGGCAGCAGTCCTCGCCTTGTCTGGGTGGGATGAGCTGATGGCTGGGCTGTGCGTCTGGGGGGACCAGAGAGACCAACAGGTTTTTGGGGAGTTCCCATCCATGCTTAGCCCGGGAAGGTGGGACACAGACGGGTGTGCAGGGGGTGACCCAGCTCTGGGGGGATGGACCCCACAGCCCCCCATAGAAGAGCAGAACAGCATCCTTATGTTTGCAGTGTTGTTTGTTACTCAGAACTGAAGTGCAGGTGTTGCAACCAAAGTATAAAGACAGAAGATGAACATTTGGGGTGAAACCCCCCCCCCAAAAAAAAGCATGGATGATGAGTCCTTATGTCTTCTGAGAGTTGCCATGCTTATTTGTGCAACAGTCCTTGTGCAGTGCTTTTACTGAATTGTTAAATAAATTGAATACTTTGAAATCTACTAGGCTCTGCTTCCCCCACCCTCACCCTTTTCTTTATCTTGAATTTTGTGCTTTCTATTCTCCACTCCACCAAAGACCTCAGCACTTCTAATAAGCCCTTGTGAGGGGGTTGTTTTCATTTCCAAAGGAGGCCTATCTTGGCTGACAGATGATGAAAAATGTCTGCAGGCAGAATGCTGGAAAAATAGCATTTTTATTCTTTGTGGGCATGCTTCAGTCAGTTCCATTATCCCTGCGTGCACCAAGATGGTCATTGAAGAGGTGAGCTGTTAATTCTTGTGCTTGGAGGTAAAGCTATATTTGATAGACTTTTTTTTTTTTTTTTTTTAAAAAAAGCACACTTCAGAAATATTTGAAATCCGCTTCAGTAAGTTAACAAGCAAAACTGCTGAATCACTGTCCTTCTTAGTTGCAACTATTAAATAGAGTTAACCGAAGCACTGTGAGGCGCATACAGAAGCCTCCTTCGAAAAGTGTTAAGTGTATACAGCCCCTTCTGACATTACACAAGTGTGGCAAGGTGTAGAACTCTGCGGAGATTTGTAGATTACTTTGGTTTCAACATCTTGAAAGATAATCACAGAAGAATTCTGCTGCAAATTAAAGCAGCCTTGTTTGCTTTGCTAGAATCATATGAATTTATGCCCTTGAAGGACAAAAGCTTTTTTTGGTGCTTTATTCAAACCAAGCTCGATTTCATTGAGTGAAATCAATGGTTTAGAAAAGGCAGGCAAGGATGATTTCAGGTACTGTTTGGCCTCTGTGTGGGGAGGGACTAAATCAAATAATTCTACTGCTTGAAAAAGCGGTAAGCGAAGAAGGATAAACTGAGGATTTGTAAAGGCATATATAGGCAGAGGAGGTTGATTAGGGATTCAGTGTGTATACTGAGGTAAAAACCAATGAAAATGTGAGATAGCAAATCCAAAGCAAATAAAAGGGACACTTTTTTTTGCCAGCAATGCTCAGTTAAGTTATGCAGTTCATTGTCAAAAAGATAAATAGATTTAAAGAGGGAGTATGCAAGCTGGTGGCTATCTATTGAACATAACGGTCTGGGTACAGCCCCCACCTGAGCAAAGGGAAATCTCTGAAAGAATTATTTTAAAACCTGTCTTATCTTTTCTGCCATGATCTATCAGTTGCTCTGAGACAATGTACTAAGCCAGAGAGACCTTTGTCCTGATCTAGGAAATGATTTGTCATCTTGCGATTTAATGGACGCCTTTCCCAGATGGGCACAAAACAAAGAAAGGTTTTTGGTTGTGCTTTACTAAATTATAATAATAACAACTGGAAGAGGCCTGAAGATGCTTCATCTAATCAGTTCTGCTGTTGATATTGTTCACTCCTATGTTTTTCACAGTTCTGTTGTAGATTACATGACAAACAAGTTTTTCTTAATTTGCGCACTGAATCATCAGCACAGACTTTGGTTTTGGTCAGTAGAAGCCTGACCTCTTCTGTGCCGTTTGTTCTCTGGCTTTAGTTGAGATTTCTCTTTGCTCGGTTTCCCACACATACTTCTAACTTTATCCACCTATGCTCAACCCTTAAATATTCTTAAAGAGCATCACTTCTCCAGTTTTTATGTGTTTAGCTCATGAAAATTCTTCTATTTCCTCAGGTGTGTCAAGGTATGAGTATAATTCAGTAATTTATTTTGTTGCTTGGATTTCATCTAGGTTTCCTTGAAAGGCTATAAAAACTCTGTTTTCAGAGGTTTCAAAGCAAATATTTAAAAAACCTCCCAAAACAACACCCCACATACGCTGTGGATGTTTTAAGTCCAGTTAATTGTGTCCTGTGTGGGGAAAGCTTAGGTGACCTTTTGAGATTCACTTCCATCCCTATTCTTCTCTCATTTTCCTTCTTTCATCGTACATTTAAACAGTGACAAGTAGACTGCAATTTCAAGTTCATTAATCAATGTGATTTACAGAGAGACGAGGAATGTAGGTCTCTATTTTGTTAAGGTTTTTCACAGTGTGAATTCTTAATATTAGAAGATTGAGCTAATACAATCTTTGTGGAAAGGAGAAATGATGTGTGTATTTGTCATACACACCTGGCAGCAGTAATGGCATTCATGTGATAGCAGCTATATGCAGCCATCCTCTGGATTTTGTTTGCCATTTAAGATGTGTATATCTATATATGTGTACATGTATGTTTATATACATAATTATATATGTGTAAGAAAGTATTTTTCTCCTGCCTTTTTACTGGACCATGGTGTGTGTCTCAAGCTTGTCCTCATGCGTCAGGATGGACAGTCATCTTTCGGATCTGCAGTACATGTTACCCAGAGCTCATCCATACTGAAAGCAGAAAGGCTTTCTGATGGTAGTACTCACATTATTTGAGCTATGACTATAAGTAGCTTATGTTAAAAAAAAAATAAATACAAAATTACTGAAATAGTTCTGTCTTCAAGACACACATGACAGAAGATCTCAGATTACTAAAGCACAGGTCACCTCGTACTTTGTCAAGGGTAGTATGATAGACCAAGGAGATGCCGTGTAGATGGCATCAAATCTCAGCGTCTCCTCCAGGTATTGGTTCTGCTCATTCCTCCTCACCCCTCAGCCAAGGTATCTCTGGGTAAGGACAGAGCCATGAAAAACAGAGCCTTTGCAGTTTTGAAGTATTTTAGTTTCTTCAGCCTTTCCTGGAAGTAGAGTATTCCCTTAAGTATTTCAGATATCTAAAAACTTATTTTGTTTTTGACTTAGCATCATCTCATGTAACTAGTATACAGGAAGGATACTTAATGAACTTTGATGGTTGCTGAGGATTAAGACACATTTGTAAATTCACTAAAATGTATTTAGGGCTGTGTCACAAATACCTTATGAAACATTCATGTTTATAGAGCTGGCAAAAACCCCTGTTAATAATGGACTGAGACTCATTTCACTTTGTGAAGGGGAATATGGTCAAGGTAAGTTAGAAATCTTAAGTATGAATCAAAATACGGTATTCTAATCAAGTTCTTGTAAAAGTGAATTAATCTGGTATACAAAAATAGTTTTCCCGGTTACTTCAGCCTCTAAATCCGCTTTGGTTTTCCATACGTCCTCTCTCACCGGGGGCTAGTTTTGAAACTTGTGTTGGGTGTTGGTTTCAAAGTACCCATGCTGTGGGTGGGGATGCTTTCCAGCTCCCCGAATCCTCGTGCTGTCCATGCTGCTGTCTGTCTGATACCCTCTCATGTCCATCGTCCTCCTGCCACGGACACACAGAGGGTCCCCGCTTCCTTCTGGAAATGGGCAGATTCCCTCATTTCAAGACTTCTAAACCTGAGCGAATCTTATTTACATTATACAGACTGTTAGTGCCAAAATATATCCGTGAACTTCACTGGCAGGAGAGGCTCTCCTGGATGCCCTTTGCCAGCAGGATAACTGGGCTTTCAGTGCTGCCAGAGGGATCGCTTATACACTGAGATACGCTGGTGGGTGAAAGCCTTGAATAGTGCTTTTTGGGTAAGATTTCATGCAAAGCAAGTCAAATGCAAATGAATTCAGGAGGCTACTGCTGTACATATGGTCAAAAATGCAACCTGTCCCTGTGCTTAGAAATGACTTGAAGTACAGCATGAGACAAAATTGCCGGCACCTATGTCCCTGAAGCTCAGGAAGGTACAGTACAGTAAATAAAAACTCTTTCAGTTTACCGAGGAGTGGTGTGAAAGACCAACACAAGCCCATGGAGACCCATCAGCAAGGCCCGATCACAGAATGAGGCAGAAATAGCGAAGAACAGTGAATTGAAGTTTTGTACAAGTGTACCAGCAAGAGGAAAGCCTGATAAGGATGGAGGTGGGCTTTTCAATGCAAAGGAAAAGCAAATAAGAGATGAGTTGAAGTTTTTTGTTTGCTGTTTGTTTTTAGTATTCATTAAAACTTTCAACTTACCAGCAGCAGAAGTACTCCCAAAGTATTGATGGATCAGACGTGCTAATAAGCTTACTGATAGACAGCCAGGTAATGTTTATGTAGAAAAATTAAATACATCTCTCAGTTTCTCCCCCCCTGGCTTCAAGGATTGTGATTATCCCTGAGTCCCTCCTTGGGTCCCCGGTACAATTGGAAGTTATTTAAAATACAAGCCTGGAGGTGAGTTCAGGTACTTGGAAACATGACAACGCTGTCTTTTACCTGTGGGTTTGGGCTCAGAAGGGCTGCTCCTGATGGGGACAGGCAGCTTTCTGTGGAGTCAGTCAGCTCCTTCCATTGGGGAAAAAACCTGGAGGCAACAGGGTTGGAAAATCTTAGACCTCTCCTAGTTGGAGGATTTGCATATTTTTTTGCAACATCTGGGCAGCCCCTGTTTGTGAAGACCCATCTTGCCATTACCACTGCAGAGGGATGGAGTTACTCACTGCTGAGTCATTTAAAGTCAATGATCTTCCCAATGCTGTTGAAAAGAAGTATAAAAACTATGTAGAAAAGGTGTTTTGGACAGTAAATTCTAAGTGATATTTTCGAAGATGTACTCTGTAAGGAAATCGCTTGCTATGCTCATTTTAGCTTATAAACACCAGTACAGGTGGAGTAATTCATAATCAGCAGCATGCATTCACTGATTGTTGCCTCTTTTACCATTCATACATTATGAATACTTAAGAAACAGATTTTTTTTTTATCCGCTAGATGAAGAGATTTTGTGTTATATTTATGTTCTCTGATTGAAGAAGTGTGTGTGTGTGTGTATGTTTTACATAAAGATTTTTGTATGGAAACTTGAATACAAATTTGGTATTTCATAAAATAATCTGAACAGTTTGATTTGAAGTATGCGGTACTAATGAAGTATGCTGTACTTCCTAGAAAGAGGGTAAAGCAGAACATAAAAATTTGGTGCAGTGACAATATCAATATTTGGAAAAACAAAATTGTTTTGTTTGCTTTGGATAAATAACATATCATTCAGTAGAAATATTTGTAGTGGCTTTGTGCATTTAGAAAGCCAACTTTGGTGACATACCTGGTGTTAGAAAACTTTTGACACTGCCTTTAGATTCTCAAATCTATTCAATGCTAGCAAAAATTCAATTTTCTATGAAAAGTTTGGTCAAATTGAATATTTACAAAATATCTTCATTTGCTAAATATTCCTGCCATCTCTGGTATTGTGATGTTTACTTGGGTCTTATTTTAATATTTTATATGTATTGTTTGGAAAATGGAAAGTGTTATTTTTTTCTAACTTGAATATGGTTGCATTGTTGTGTGCTTTGCATCTGCTGAGTTTGAGATGGTTGAGGACTGTTTCTTACAGACTCTCTGGGCTCAAAACTTATTTATTCAAATATGGTCCTGGGTATGGATTCAAGTTACACCTCTGAAAATGCTGGTGTGTATGTGGTTGTTAATTCATAAACAGTGTGCAGCTTCTCTAAAGATTTAATAAGCTGAGGTTGCTGCATTTTAACTATAGCAGAATTAAATATGTTTCTCCATCACAGATATGTGTAAGCTATGATTGAAATGTAATCTGATAATACTTTGCTTTGAATAAAACCATGTGAGTGGAAAGGCTGTTGAGGAAATTTCTGATTAGTTTTATATTAAACTTCAGGACAAGAAAATCTCTTTTGAAGTTTGATCTTGATGGACCTTAGTAAACAACAGAAGAACACAGAATCTTGTAACAAAAATTAGTTTTGCAGATGAAGGAATATATAACTCATGCTTTCATGCAGCATAAACAAAAGTTTTCAGGCTGAGTTTAATCCGAGTCCGTGTGATGGTACACTGCAAATGCGCTGGGATTTCTAATGAATTTACAGTGAGTTTACACTGGAGCATAACATCCTCCACAGCTGCCTTCCTATTATTTGGGCTCAGAATATGAAACCCTTCACTGTTGGTATTCCACACATTTTAGGGAGATACAATTTTGATATCTGGCTTACTACAAGGAGAGGCAGCAAATTTACTGTCGTAATAATGACTGTGCTAATAACGAGCTGCTAAATTCTTTCTGGTTTTTTTCCCCTAAATAATTTGTTTTAATGAAAAGTTTCTGATTTCTACAGGAGATTGTCACTAAGATATTTTTAGCCAATCCCAAAGTATTTCAGCAGAAAAGAGAAACATTTTGGTATGTTGCCTTACTGTTTCAGAGGTGTTTAGTTATGCTCTGTGTTATGGGACGAGACGCCTGATCGCCTCGCCGTGCCCGTGCCGGGGCTGCAGTGAGCGGATCGGAACGTGAACCAGGCAGCTCCTTGCCTGGGCAGGGAGGTGATGTGTGTGCTGCTGATGGGGTATGATGGAGAGGTGGTCTTGGTCTTCTGGATAGGGTCTGTAAAGTCATGGAGGTAGTACAGACCCTTAAATACAGCTTCAGAGGCAGAAAAAACAAGAATTCCTCTTCCAAAAGATGATCAGACTGAAGGATGCCACAAGGCCAAACTTCCTTCACCTTCTCATCACTCCTTTTCCTCTGCAGAGACATTCATCCCTTTTTTGACGAATTCCTTCATTTCCATTTATGTTGTGTTTCTGGGGGAGAAAGGCATTGGCCAGGTTCCTTTCTGTGCCCCTTACCTGTTTTTCCACGGTTTCAGCAGTCAGGCTGACTCTCTTTGCCTGCTCCCTGCTGCTGTTTAGATAAATCTGTGCCCTCTGCCTCTTCCAGCAAAAAGGAGGCAGAATTTATTTCCATAAACAACATTTGCAGCTTGAGGGACTAGCTTTTCAAATTGCAGTCTCTGAGGAGTCTCATCGTTTCTCCAGAAAGTGATGATATAGCAGAGTTTAATTACCAGCCATTAATGCGGAATATTTCATGTTCCTATTACGCATTACATAAATATACCTTATGAAATGTTCTGAGAGGAATTTAATAGCATATATAATGTATAATTGTGTGTGTATGTGGGCAATGCAGGTTTCTAAGCAATTCTGCGGGTGAGGCGTAGCTGCGGCGAGATGCAGCATTGCGCTAAGAGGCAGCTAAAAGCACAGCACGGCTATGTTCTTCTCATACTTTATTTCTTGCCAGTGGTACTTCTAAACGGTTTTGACTGTGAGATGTATTCTCCAAGATAAAATTCTGCCTATTAGGGAACATATATAGCGGTGTAGTCATGAATTCCTTTCCCAAAGCCAGGTGAGAAGAATCAGCGGCTCTGCTCAGACATGAAAAAAGGTATCTAATAGCATCTCAAGCGTGCCTGCAGTGCTGGTACCCGTGCCACAGCCTGTTTAGCTCCCGGGAGGATGCTGCCGACCCCAGTAGACGTTAACCACTGAGCCTGTCGTCCTTAGGAAATCATCCCGGACGCAGAGCACTTCAGAGTTGCCACGTTTAAGATTTAAGCATCTATCTGATAGCAATTTCATCTTTGCATGTAATCACAGCAAAAGCGAATAATTTCTTCCTACTGCAGCGTATAAAGGTGCTACTTCTGATCAAGGGGAAGGATAAAAAAATAGATCAGATAATACTGTAAAATGTTCTTCGCTCAACTGAAGCATAAACTAGAACTGCAGAAACAAAATTTCTGTGCCCAGGGTGTGTAATATTTATTTTTAAAAAGCCTTTTATGTAAATTTCTGCTAGCCCTGATGTCTGATTTGCTTGAAAAATCATAGGTTTCTCCTTAAAAAGTCACTTAGTCTGCTTTCTGTGCATTTTGTAGAAAAGGGCTTATTCTTCTAGCGTTTTTTGTTGTTGTTGCAAAAATAAATGATTTAATTACTCTTCAGGTAGTAGAGAAGGCTTCAAAAGTGACAGTCTTTCAAGATATTAAGCATCAAAATGTTTCAAAGTGATTTTGACACTAAAGATGAAAAACGAACGGGATGGCAGAAAAACAAAGCCAAGGTCCCTTCGTTAAGATAGAACGGTAATGTTGGAATACGGCACAGAAGTTCACAGCTTGAAAGGCACCGTGAGCATCAGTCCCTGCCCAGTACGGTGCTGCAGGACCACGTGTGTGAGGACTGGAGTCACGCACCGACGGGTTGGCTTCTGCTTATTCGTGAGAGCAGCAGCTGACAGTCAGCACTGAAGACAAATTAATTGGTGTTAATTAACACCTCTTGACAGAGGCTGATTTAAAGTGTGAATGTAAAATTGGTTAAGGATTCAGGTGTTCCGTGTTCTGTTGGTTGATACAGCACCTAGGTAATTAGCTGGGAGCGAAGCTGGCCTCTTCTGCTTAGCTGCACGTTGAGGTCAGAGGAGGAAACTGGTGGTGATTCTGTCATCCTTTGTCTAACGCTTTTGCTTTAGAATAATGATTATTATAATTATTTGTATAGGTGGGATGTTTCCTTCCTTTTCATATGCTCTTGCCTAAAAAGGCAGTCAGCATCTTGTTTATTTTTGTGTGCTTATATGAGATGATACTGTAATTTTCCTTAAAACTCAAAATTGACTGTACAAATATTTCTCAAAACTAGTCTCTAATAGTATGTAAAAGATACTCTGTCAGGGTTGGGATACTATATTTTTCAGGATAGATTGTTGGGGTTTTTTGGTCACTGAAGATTAATTGTTTTATTTACTTACAGGGATGGGATTATGCTATCACATGCCTGGTAGTTAAAACTAAATAAAAAAGTAAAAAAGCTGGTTAGAATTAGTGTAATACACATGTTCTTCAAATATTTTCAGTAGCTATAAAAGTGTTTTCCAAACCTTTTCTGTCTGCATAATCTCACAGAGAATCTGGTGTTGTGCTCTGTAGTCCTGGTGTAAATCTCTTGAGAACAGTTATTTACTGTCATTGTGATTACAACCAAAAGCTGCAAGTGAACAAATCTGGGTTTTTTAGTCATCTTAGAAAGGAACTAGATATAAATTTGGATCCAGATAGAGAAAAAACCTCACAGGGAAGCACAGAGAAAATTGTGGTGTGTTGTTATGTTTTTTAACGTTCCTTGTTGAACACCAAAAATTGCAGAGCCCCATTGGTGAAGAAGAAAACTGATGCCCACATACTAAGAGCTGGCTTTTGCTATTTTGTGTTACAGCTGTTATTTCTCGAAACCAAGAAGGACCTGGAGAGATGGGAAAGGCTGTGCTCATTCCAAAGGATGACCAGGAGAAGATGAAAGAGCTGTTTAAAATCAACCAGTTTAATCTTATGGCCAGTGACTTGATTGCCCTGAACCGAAGTTTGCCTGACGTGAGGTTAGACGGGTGAGTCCCTGGAGCATTCTGCAGAGCGGCGGCATTGCCTACCTTTTCAAGGCATGAGATACAGCACTGTCCCAAGGCTAATTAATTAGTGGGTGTTACTACCCGTGGGTGCCTGAGGAAGCTGTTTGAAAATGCCAGGGTTTACCCATTCTAGATTTGGCTTCTAATGCACAACTTTCTTAGGAGAAGAGTTACTGCATCACAAATGTTATTATCTGGTGGAATTTATTTTGTGAACAGCTGAATAATTGTCAACTTAGAGCAATCCATTTGCATTGCGGCACATAACAAAATGCCCTCTGGTGTGTCTTATCACCTGGGATAATTTAAATATTTTTTTCTTCAGGGAAAACATTATTTCTAGGGTTTTAAAATGATAAAAACATCAATGTCTACTTTATAAATTTTCATAACTATGCTGGCGGCATTTAAAAATTGACATTTTAGCGCTGATAAAGAGGAAATGCTACCAATACCAAAAACTACCTGCAGGATGGAGTTTTCTTTTAGTTTTATCCAGAAACATTTCCAGAATAATCAGAATTTTATAGAACATCTTTCAAAATGTTTTGCAACAATACAAAAACTGAAGAGGGTTTGGTGGTTGGGGTTTTGTGGGGGTTTTGTTTTGTTTTTAAGTCTAGTAATATATAATCATTATTTTTGAGTGAAGCCTGACGTTTGTGTGGTGACTTTGAGACTGTGGAATAGCTTGGGGGAGTGTTTCACCAAGCCCATTGAATTATTTTTAAAGGAATTTATGGACTAATTTTTCCAGTTACAACAGTGGGCTTGTGTTTCTACATGTATTTGATGTGAAAGTACAAATGTACATGTGTATCGTATCTCCATTTAAATAGGGATTCTGATTGCTATCTAAAGATCCCCTAACAAGTTATGATACTGAAAAAAAAAAAAGCCTATGTCTGTGGTATCCATTTTTTTCAGCAGTCAGAGAATTTCCTCCTCTCTCCCAGGAGCAGTGTTAATGCTAGCTGATGGAGTAGGCTAGCAAGCCCATTTTATTTAACGTGGGACTTCTGCTTATAGGGGCATTCTTGTAAGAATCTCTAACAGAGGTTGCATGCGTGGAGGATTATCCAAACTTACATACTTTTGGAAGTAAATTTTTAGAGGCGGGAATATTTTTTCCACTTGATTTTTATAGAAACCTAGCGTTGATTGAATTTTATCTTTTTTCAGTTCAGTTTTTTTCCCTGTTCTCCTTCACCTACATAAACAGTCTGATTTACAGGTACTGCAGCTTATAACAAATAAAAATTTAGAGAAATATAAGCATAGGTAAATATATGCAAGTGGTCAGGTCTTCTAAAACCTCCCATTACTTTTGGTTTTTAAACTGAATTGTCACTTAGCTGAAATCTTGCTTATCATGCTTTTGTTTGAAATTAAATTCTTCATGTTCCCATGAAAATTAAGTACTTCGTTCCCTAGATTTTATTTGTAAATGCCTGCAAATAATAGAAGTAGAAGCATTGCTTTAACAATAGAGCTTGTTCAGAAACCACAGAGGTGATGCTTCTCCACAGCACGATCATTTGTAATTCAGTGACGCCAAGTTCCCATAGAACAACACCTCACATCATTGCCAGCAAAGACGTATTTCACAAAACGGAAGCATCGGAAACGCTTTATTGCTTATTGCTTGTTTGTTCTTTATTGCTTGTCCTTTGCAAGAGTGCCGAGGGTAGTCACGTCACGACGAGCTGGTGGGGCTGGCTTCAGTGTTGAAATGATTCCAGCGGGCACGGGGCATCTTGCAGACTTTCTGGGAAGCGAGGGGGATGCTCTGTGCTGCTGGGCTGGGTTTTCCCTTGCTGCTGCCTAACTGTTTTCTTGTACTGTGATGCTCTTGGCCGGTGGCCCAGCTTACATTAAACTGCCCAGGTAGTGGTCAGTTCAGTGTTAGGTTCTCCTCTCTCACGGAGCCTTTGCAGCCCACAAAGAGACAAGACCCGAGTGTTGCACACACCAGAACAAGGGGGGCACCTGCGAAGCCTCTTTCTCCTTTCCCTTGGAGCAAGCGTTGAAAAGGAAGTACATATTGAAGAAATGGGTAAAATGTTCAAGCTAATGAAGAGTTCTACTCAGTCTAAGGGAGATGAGCTATTTAATATGGAGGGAAAGCTGTCTAAATGCATTTTCTTGATGAGCAGAAGTTTCATATCCTTTGTTGAAAGGACAGAAAGTATTATGGGATTTAGAAAAAAAATAATTTTCTTTTCTCATTTTCCTCTTCAGACAGATGCTTTCTGTACATATTCTGTCTTTAGGCAGTATTAAATTGTTCTGAAAGCCAGTTTATAATGCTTTGCTATTAAGGAAGAATATGATTTTATGGTTAATGTATTTAGTGTATGACAAAGACACGTTTTTATTGACATGGGGGACAGAGGCATCTGATTTGCACTGGGTGTCTAACTCTTTGCGTCTTTCACATTATAAATGCAAGCTTCTCTTTCAGAGGCCAGGAAGTTTTCTGCGGCAAAAGTAGGTGAATAGAAGAAAAGAAAATAAAAAATGTTCTTGCTGGACGTGCTGTCTAGTGGGAAATTCACAATAACCTGTGTAGCTGCGGACACTGCTGTGTAACGGGTAATCATGAGCTGATGGAAAGATCAATGTTATCAAGGTGTAAATGTATTAAATCAGTGTATTGGCTGTGAAGCAGCTGCACTAAATGGAGCAGAAAACTTGAGGCCAGAGAGATGAAACTTTGCTGGAAGGTCGTCAGGGCAAGGTTGACTCATTGCAGGGCAGTAGCAGAAGGGGAGCAGGATGGGATCAGTCCCATGGAGCTCCACATCGTCACTGAGTTATTTGCAGATTGGGCGCTGGGAAATGGCCAAGCTGTTCTCCATTTCTGTAACGATGCCAGGGGATTAAAGGAGTGAAGGGCATTTGTACAGGACTAATTAACTCCTGGCATGACTTGACCTTTTTATTGTATCTATCACATGTCAACATTTTGCTGCGTGTAAGTGGTGTTTTCGCATTTCTCTGAGCGTATGCCATGCCATTAAGTCGCAGTCTCCGTTCCGGCTTCCTGCGCAAGCAATTAAGGGCTCATGTGCCATCAGGCTTGTGTTGGGGGTCTCCGGGGGCGGAGGGGAGTCACAGCTACCGGCAGCAGTCCTGAGCATTGCTCCTCTTCTCTGTCTTGCATGAGATGTCCCTGACAGATGTGGCGACTTTCAGTCTTGGGCTCCTTTAAAATTGAGATGTTGGAAAAGCAGCTGAATGCCTTTTTCTCAGTGATGTCCTCTTCCTGCTCCTGGTGGTGTCAAGTATAGGCTTAAAACAGAAAGTGATGTGGTGTCTGACTTCCCACACCCTGTCTTCAATGAAAATAAAACCTCAGCTTACCCATTAGTCCTGTGTTTAGAAGGTTTTATGATTTCCAGCTGTGATTTAACCCTAAATGCAAAGTGTCATCTCCTGGTGAGATTTCCCAATGCCTTTCCCTCTGCCTACAAGAATTAGATTTGTGTGTTATAAGATTATGTCCATGTCACAAATGAATATCTACAAATAGATATAAGAATTCTGATAAGAAACAAACAGCCCTAGAAAAAGAAGAGCCTTGTTGTAATTTCTCATTCTAGAAATTAATTATTCAGTTTTGCGACCGTACGTTCATTGGCAAAGTCATTGGGAAAAGGGCAGTGAAAGGGAAGTAGTACACTGACAGAATAGCTTTTTCATTGCTGTGGGATGTGTATACATATATTATATATTTATTTTATATATATTATATATGTATAAAATTAATCCATTTCCATTCTGTTCCTGTTCTGGCCTTCCTCATTCCTCTTCCCTCTTTGTTCCTTGCTGTCCTTTTTATTCATGCAGGCAATTTTATCCCGACCTCCTGATGTGGGTGTACAGATTTCACTTGCTTTGCCAGGGCTGCTGCTGTCTACATAGCACTTTGCGTGTACTTCTGGGAGTCAATCTACAGCGTACAAACTTGGAGTAAGGATCGAAGATGCTCGTCAGTCCTTTTCACTCCCCTCCGCAGCTTGGTACTCACATCCCACAGCGGCAGAGAGTAAGAGAGCTCTCGCTGTTTGGGATCGTTGCTGCTGTTGTGCCTCCAAACAATCAAAGCAGTGCTGTGGCAAATGGAGGGGGTGGTGTAAGTGTCACAAGAGTCTAAATAAGAAACACGTATTTAAGAGGGAAAATAAACCTGAGGGAATCTTAATTTTTTTCACATTAGCAGACGAAAGAACTCCTGAAACCTTTTGTGACTCTCTGTTTCTGCTTAAATGTTTGATGACTGTGAGCTAATTCTGGATTTACACTGCAACCACAGTACTTGCCTTTGTAAGATGAGGGAGATCTTTTTCCTAAGGAAAGATGTTAGATTTCTAAAAAAAAGTTTCATTTTATGAGTTGCAGGAAGACAGGGAAGGCTGACTTGGTTGCTGGCTAATGAGAAATTCCCTTTACAGTTTTGTGAAATAAGGCGTCTGTCTTTTGTCTCGTCCTTCTCCCAAACAGGAATGTTTGTGAATAGACCTGATGTGAAGTCCTGACCTCCGTGAGGTCAATAAGAGTTTGCTCTGACTTCTGTGGGAATGAATTCTCTAATCAGGAGACCACAAAATCCACCTCCCGTGTGCTGTAATGAAACAGTATGACTGAATCCCATTGCATCTCTGCTTCTGTGTTGATATTTTAATTCCAGCTAATGAATGTGACTGTCACACTAACAGTTTAACTTGCTGCCCATTATGTCTAGTGTTGTCTACCAGAGAATGTCCCTCAATTGCCTGAGTTCTGCTGGTAATGGTCAACATGAAGATTTTAATCAGTGTCAGGTCTAATTTGAAGTAGCTATTGATTAAACCCTAAACCCAATTTAATTCAACATAGAAATGTTTAATTTTATTTCTAAGTATTTTCTCCAGCAAGGGAAGAAATCCATCTTCAATCTTTTCTTGATGAATAAGGTTGCAAGTGCTATTCTACAA